GGTGGAGGTCTCTCCACCGTATGAGGAGACGGCGGCAGTCGTCAGCGTCGTACCGATGTGGATGTATCCATGTCTGTAGAGTCTGTTGATGATGAGGGTGAGGATCAGGCCGATGTTACGGGAGTTGTAATAAGTTAAATAGATGATCCATCCACAGGACAGAATGGTGGCTGTCAAAGAAAAAGACAGAAGTTACTAATCAGGTCCAGACGTCATCAGTGACTCATTAACTACCATCAGTGACTCATTAACTACCCACCATCAGTGTCTCATTAACTACCATCAGTGTCTCACTAACTACCCACCATCAGTGACTTATTAACTACCCACCACCAGTGACTCATTAACTACCATCAGTGTCTCACTAACTACCCACCATCAGTGACTTATTAACTACCCACCACCAGTGACTCATTAACTACCCACCATCAGTGTCTCATTACCCCCCATCAGTGTCTCATTAACTACCAGCAGTGTCTTATTAACTACCCACCATCAGTGTCTCATTAACTACCATCAGTGTCTCACTAACTACCCACCATCAGTGACTCATTAACTACCCACCACCAGTGACTCATTAACTACCATCAGTGACTCATTAACTACCATCAGTGACTCATTAACTACCCACCATCAGTGTCTCATTACCCCCCATCAGTGTCTCATTAACTACCATCAGTGTCTTATTAACTACCCACCATCAGTGTCTCATTACCCCCCATCAGTGTCTCATTAACTACCAGCAGTGTCTTATTAACTACCCACCATCAATGTTTCATAACTGACTATTATTAACCTGTTAGCTCAAACAGTTAACTTATGATGATGTCATCATTGGAGATTCTACAGACATTTATTATCAGACTGTTTAAATAATGACAGGTGTCCCTCCCCCTCTGACCCCCCCACTCACCCTCCCCCTCTCACCCCCACCTCCCTCCACCTCTGCCCCCCCCCAGTGTCCAGACTTACCGGCCAGCAGCCAGATGAAGTTGGAGTTGTGTTTGGTTAGAAAGTCGTCCAGATCCCCTAAAGTGGGGAAGGTGCTCTCATTGTTCTTGGCCACGTGCCCCTCCATGGCTACAGCCGTTCAGTCTGTTGTCTACAACCAAAGTAGACCTGGTCAGTGGTTAATCACTGACTGGCTGGTGTCAAAGGTCAATTATTATTGGAGTAATTATTATTATAGATCTGTCTTCTGTACATGACATGTGATGACAAACGTGCACGCGCACACGCACACACAGGTCACTGCCTGGGACTGGACTGTGTGAAATAAAGAGGTTTAAACAGAGCTGGAATGCAGTTAAAGACACAAACACGTTACTCCAAGACAAAGACTGTGTGTTTGAACCACCACCTCAGTACAACATCACAACACTACCACTCTCACGACCGGTGTTAAACTGGTTCAGATACTTATAAAAACAACCAACATCGTCAGTGGTTGGTCCCGTTGACAAGTAATGACAGTTTTTTTCTTCCTTGTTTTACAAAACTGGGAAACGTTGTGAGTTTTGACTCTCAAACAAACACGTTCATAATAACTGTCCGTCTGAAGGTTGAAGGTTGAAAACCCTTGGTGATGTTGAACATGTATGAAACTAGTGAAAACACCAATATATTCACCGATATCAACACATGGTAACGACCTAAAACCAACAACATGTTGTTGGTTTACACAGTGAACTGCTGCACTTCTCGCCGACACTGATTCAACACCGCCACCTTATAAATATCATAATATTCCCGCTGTATAATTAATCCCAATCCACCGGGAAACACGGCCACAGTTGTAACTAACAACCACACACCAGGCTCGTTTCCTGTCTTTACTTCAAACCATTTGGTTTTCGCGTCATAAATGAACTGGGATGTTACGAGGCTCGCGACGTTACGGCTCTGCAGGTATTATGCTACAGGCTAACTATTACAATCATTACACTGTTGTTAGCCACAGTGCTACCGACAGAAGGCCGCGCCCGGTAACTTCTCCAAATGAAAAGCGTTAAACAAATGTCCTGGTAACATTAAAAAAAATACCTCAATGTCCACGATACTGCGCGTAGTTTCATCTTTACTCCAGGTATCCAGGAGCTGCAGTTTTATGGCGTTGTCACACAGAGGCTCAGTTAGCATCCTCCGCCAAGTATTTACCTGTCAGTCGACCCCTCAATAACTCTTCCGGTTCTGTTGAAACGTCACCATATCGACCAATAAAAAAGAAGGAAAAAGACGCTGTCCAATCAGAGGAAGGTATGAAGTAGAACACGCCCAAAGGACCACCGAGAACAGCCTCCTCAACAGTCAGTGTTTGCTGAGTGTTGTTAGAAAATGATTAATTATCTGCTTTTAATAAAAACGTAATGATCAGAATGTCAAACAAACAAAATCATATTATGATTAATTACTATTTATTTATTCAGTTTAATGGTAAATACGGTGAAATGCTAGTGACTGCCGCCCAACGATATCGATATCAGAAATTGAAGTGTAATGTTTGCTTTGGATAAAAGTGTCTGCTATAAATGGAATAAATGTACATTTTATAATAACGTGAAGTGAATTATTTGTCATTGTGACACCGCTGCACCACTGCACACAACCAAATGTAACCTCTGCTTTTAACCCACCACCACAGTCAGCAGGGGGCAGCAGTGTGTGGGGACGGTGCCTTGCTCAGAGCACTTCAGTGGTAACTTGGCAGCTGGTGGACTCGAACCTGAAACCTGAATGGTCTGGTTCTAAACTCTGTTTTCATGGGTAGAACTTTATTAAAGTTCATGTGAAGATCCCCAGTTAAAAGAGAATTTTCATCTCATTTAACGTGAGTGAGTGTAATTATGATGTAATGAGGGTGATGTCATGGTGACATCTGACACTGTATCAATATTAACACTGAGGTTAGAGTTACATTATGATGATGAGAAGAAATCATTGACTAGAAAATAAATGAGAGCTCAATTAAAATGGACCCCTGGTGTCACGTCTGTGTCTGTGCAGCGTCACTAATGATGTCCTCATGCTTCAGGACAGGTCATCATCTTCATCATCATCATCATGGAGAGACCCACTGTCACGTGCACTGTACTGGAGCGACCCACTGTCACGTGCCCCACTGTCACGTGCACTGTACCTGTCACGTGCACTGTACTGGAGAGACCCACTGTCACGTGCACTGTACTGGAGAGACCCACTGTCACGTGCACTGTACTGGAGCGACCCACTGTCACGTGCACTGTACTGGAGAGACCCACTGTCACGTGCACTGTACTGGAGTGCAACTATGAACAGGTTGAATTATTAGAAGCTTTTATTAGCAGACATCAACAGTTAGTCTCCAAATGTACATCAACAAACAAACAACATTTTGATTGGCTCATGGCTCATGACATCATGCCTGGAACAATATTTACAATCACATTTGTACAACAATGTGTACAACAATCCACTGCTGACATGCATTTGTGTAACAAGAGAAAAAGTTTCAGTGAAAAAGTGCAGGTGGAGAAGTGGAGTCACAACGTCATGAGGAGGTCTCGCTCCTGCACGCTGGTGTAGAAGGGCTTCCCAAACACGAAGGAGTGAAGCCCCGCCCTCAGCTTCTCAGCCAAGGCCATCACGATGTTCAGGTCGCCCTCTACTGTCAGGTCCAGGTCTGTCTTTAAGTTGCGAAGGGAGCGAAAAGGTTTTTTTCCTTTTTGCCTGTGAATGAAGGTCAGGAGACACCACTGTTACCATCCTACCCCAGAGTCAGGGCGTGGTGGCTGTAGTCAGGCGTGGTGACTGTAGTCAGCTGTGGTGGCTGTAGTCAGGAGTGTTGACTGTAGTCAGGCGTGGTGACTGTTGTCAGGTGTGGTGGCTGTAGTCAGGGCGTGGTGGCTGTAGTCAGGCGTGGTGACTGTAGTCAGTTGTGGTGACTGTTGTCAGGTGTGGTGGCTGTAGTCAGGGCGTGGTGGCTGTAGTCAGGGCGTGGTGACTGTAGTCAGGGCGTGGTGGCTGTAGTCAGGCGTGGTGACTGTAGTCAGGCGTGGTGCCTGTTGTCAGGTGTGGTGACTGTTGTCAGTTGTGGTGACTGTAGTCAGGCGTGGTGCCTGTTGTCAGGTGTGGTGACTGTTGTCAGTTGTGGTGACTGTAGTCAGCTGTGGTGGCTGTAGTCAGGAGTGTTGACTGTAGTCAGGCGTGGTGACTGTAGTCAGCTGTGGTGGCTGTAGTCAGGAGTGTTGACTGTAGTCAGGCGTGGTGACTGTAGTCAGCTGTGGTGGCTGTAGTCAGGAGTGTTGACTGTAGTCAGGCGTGGTGACTGTTCTTACGTTTCATCCTCGATGTACTTGAGCAGTGTGAGGGACTTCCTGTGGAGCAGCAGCAGGAACTGGGCCAGGTAGGTGCTCCTCAGGGACAGGCCAGGCTTCAGCATGAACACCTGGTACGATGTAGGGTGTCAAGTATTAGTAAAGAATAGCCCCCCCCCCCCCCCCCCAATTAACTGTTCCTTCAAGATTCTTTAAGGTATCATGTTATGCCACCTTAAAACGTGCACTCAACTCTGCAGCCTAAGGTAGATTAGATTATTACGACTGGATAAATACGTACTGATTAATTCACAACGGC